CCCTAATGTTCTGTGATTCTGTGATTCAGTGGCCTTTGGCTGCACCTCCCATGCAGTAAAAGAAATTTGGTGAGCAACATTTAACCACAGAAACGTGTTAATGGCCATGACCAAATCCCAGAGCTCCCATGCCTACCAGGTTAACAACGCTGAAATTTAAGTAAAGTTACAGAGAGTTAATTTTTCTCCAAATTAATGCAGTAGCTTTTCCTCATTTCTTCAAGTCATTAGGGATTATTTCTGCCCTCTCCCCATCGGTCACCGTGACAACTAGAGGTGGAAGCTGTCATCTGGAAAGCTGATCTCATTTTCACCATGCAGCTGTGGTTCCCCAGCATAATCTTGCTGTGCAGATCACCCCAGATGATTCCATGTCTAAGTCACTTAATCTTTCTTTTTAATCTTAGTGGTGGCTCAGTCCACAGGAGTTCCGGCAGTCATTTTTAATACCTGGATTGCTCTGAGTAGCTGAGATATTTTCACAGGGTGCTACTGGTGTAAAGGAAGTTCAGAAATGCTGGAGGAAGCACTCAATATGGGGACTCCCAAGTTTTATTTCACAGCCTTCCCAGACACTTCAGTAGTGGGAGCTACCCTGGTCTGTAGCTTGGTTATGGAAAAGAACACACAAAGCAATGAAGTCTGCAACTTGTGCAGGAGGAAGACATCCCTGAGGAAGGAGACCACACTGAAAATAAATAAGAGTACTAAACTTCCTCTTTCTGCTTTCCAGAAGCAGACTGGTAACACGCTCTCAGGACCTTTGGACACCCTGAATATCACTCAAGTTGACAGAACTATATCCCAAAAAGAACAGCTTGGCTGCAGGAGGCAACCAAGAAGAAACACAGACATAGCAGGAAGACAGCACTGACCAAGATCCTGTGATCAAACTGTACGGTCGTAGGGTTTTCAAAGAGATTTCTCAGCACCGGTGAGAAGGCAAGAAGATCATCTGGGATCCAGCGCTCTCCCATTTTGGGGAAAGAATTGTACACAAGGCCAGCATCCAGCCCTGCCACAAAGGCACCTGCAATTCCAGAGCAGAAAATGAGACAAGCAGAGTAGGCAGAGGTGGCACTCTAGCTTGTGCAGCTCTGACTCAAGAGCTCAGCTTGATCCTGACTTTCTTTTAGAAACAGGCACAGAGATCACACAGCAACACGCAGGCTGGAAGGTCCATGTCCACCTGTCCAGCAAAGACCAGTAAGGGAGGTTCTCGACTGTCAGCTCCCTGACAGCAGTGAAGTTTTCCCACAGAACACGATGGGGTTGCTCACAGTCCCCGTCAGACCAGCAGAAAAACAAGGTAGAGAGGAATGAGCTGCAGATGGGACAGCAGAAAGAAACACTCTTACCTGAAAGAGCAGTAAGAAAAATGAGAGCTGCAGTGCCATGAGCAAATTGTCTCAAGCGAAGGAGCTGATGGCTCTGAGGTAACTGTAAGATACAAAAAAAAAAAAAAAGAAAAGAATCAAAGCAAAGCATTTCTAGTGCTGTCTGCAGCTGGTAAGAAAAACCTTCACTGCTTACACAGGGGTGCAAGGGGCTGGCCTGTGTTTCACAGGAGGAATCTAGAGACCACCACCCAGCAGTCACACTTCAGTGGTTCCTCAAAACCACAACAAATTGAGTCCAACCCTGTGCAGAAACTGAAGCGGCCACTGGACAGTTACTGGCACAAATAATTCAGCTCAGCCAGGCACATCCTTGTCTGAGCTTCCACGAACTCAAGAGACTCATCACTTCTGAGCAGAAAGAGCATGAGTGAAAGGAAGCGTCCCACAACCAAGAAGTTTACAGAAAGGGCGTTTTGTAACACGGTATCAGATCAGAGTCAGGAGCAGACTAAAACAGAAGCACCATCACCCTTCACATCACACCCCCAATCCTCATCCTAATCGACACTACACTGCGCTTTCAACTCCTGACGCTGCTCCGTTACCTTGTGCTGTGGAAGCAGCAGAGACAGCCCTGTCCACAGGCTGGCAGAGTACAGAACCAGCGCGGAGCCGAGGTGTGCTGTGAGACGGTACTGACTGACCCGAGGGATGTCATAAGAGTCTGGTTTCTCTTCCAGCCCGCTCTTCACCATGTACCATCCCAGCAGCCCCTGGCAAAACAGGGGAGGAGTTAGAGCCATACAAGGCAGCAGCGACTGCCAAGAGCAGGTAAGTGTTAGGGGCAAAGCAGTTTCCTACACCTCCAATCAGCTACCAGCACTGACACCCCCTCAAGCTTTCACAAACTCACTTTCTCAACTACACTCGATGCTGCCACTAATCCCTGGGGCTACAGAGCTCGCTCACCTGGAAGCAGACCAGCCCACAGAGCGCTAGGACACAGCCCTTCATGGGGCGGCTGAGCCAGCCCTTTCGCCAGAAGTAGGCGGCAGGCAGGATGTAGGCCAAACCCACAACACGGCCCCACATACGGTGCGAGTACTCCATGTACCAAATGAACTTGAACTCTGTCAGCGTCATGTCATGATTCAGGCTGTTGAGAGACAGTAAAACAAAGAACAGCTCAATGTCATGTGGCAGTCCAAGTTCCCACGACGAGGGACCACCTTCCTCAGAGAAAGGAAGCAACCCTGAAACGAAGGAGCCACCATCAGACACGCTTCGTGTGTCTTCCCAGTGGTGTTAGGAAACGTTTCCCCTGCAGGAGTTCCTTGTGCTGCTTGGTCCCAGGAGGGATGCTCCCAGCCCAGCCTCCTTCCGCTTTTGCACACTCACATTTTAAACTCTGGGAACTGCTGGTACTTCTGGAACTCTGCTTCCCACTCCTGCTGTGTTCTTGGGGGTTTCATCTCTTTCACCAGGTGCCAGTCAACCATAGAAAGGCCTGATTCGGTCAGCCTGCGGGCAAACAGAGACACCAGTGGGCACAACTCACTCCCTGAAAGTACACAGCTCTACTGAGATGAAACGGGAACTCTTGGCTGACCCGACAACCGTTAAACTCAGCTAGAAGTAGGATGGAAATCAGGAAAACTGTGAGTGATCAACAGACCTAAAATTAACCCCAAAATGTGAGAGGGTTACCCCTAGCTGTGTCTCTCTGCTGTTCCCAGCCCTACACCACGATGCAACCAGAGAGGGAAGACACAGGTGCACTCGGGGCTGGTCCCAGGCACGGGAGGCCGTTGCAGGGCGCAGGGTAAGCCCAAGCGGGTCACCGGCGGCACGGAGCCAGAGGGCAGCGGGGGCCGTTACCTCCACACGGTCTTAGCTCTGAGCCCCTCCGAAGCGGTG